ATTGCTTAGAGCCTAAGCTCTATATAAACTTTATGCGCATATCTATATATATATATAGATATATATAGATATATATATATATATATATATATATATATATATGGATGGGGAAAATTTTATAATAATTAGAAATTAAAATACATTTTTAAGCCATCCAAGTAATTTTTTACACCAAATTTATATCTTTAGATAAAGTTTGGAAATAGTCCTTACTTTGATTGTTTAGAGTTGCAACCTTATAACAAATTTTAAAAAATCAGATAAAAGATAAAAAATAAAAAATGAGAACATAAATTGAAATCATTAGAAATCAGAGGGAAGAACAACAAAAAATGTTCTTAATCATACCTAACACTAAACAAACACCCTAACAAAAAGATACAGTTTTTTCTAAAACCAGATCTTTTTCACAAATAAAAAACCTAGCAAAAGTTGAATTGAAATCATTAGAAATCAGATAAAAAATCAAGAAATGAATGTTATGTCATAAATCATTCCTAATAAATCATAGAATAAAAATTCCAACAAAATGTAACATAATAATACCTATTTTGGATTGAATCTAAGCCCTTCAAGAGACATATCCCCAACAAAGTTGTGGATAAAAATTCAAAAAACTCAGAAATCTACATCCATGAGCTCAGATATCCAAAAAGCCAATTTAGACTAAATATCTTTGAACAACTTATTTTGATCCAATCAATTATGATTTGACCCGCTAGACGCTCCAAAAAGATTATTTTGAAACAAATTCTAAATAAATTGATGGAGAAAGGGTGGAGAAGTCAATAGAGAGGTAAATCAGGAATTTCAAGCTCAAAAATAGTGATCCAAGTTCTGCTTGTAGATATGATAGAGGGCTGAGAGAAAAGATCAATACATGGACATTTGGAACAGGTTCAAAGAGGCCATTTTTTAATAAAATCAGAAAAGAGGGACTCGAACCAGTCACCTCCGTAATACGATCGACTCGGGCATCACCCAAATCGGGTCGTGGATTTTCTAAACCGGGGTTCGTATCATACCTGGAGATGCACATGTTTCCTCGACTGCCACCATTATTTCTTCAGAGGAAGAGAGAGAGAGGCGGGCAATAGGATGGGAGAAAGAGGAGAGAGAGAGAGCTGTTCATGAGTCCTGCTAAGAGAGAGAGAGAGAGAAAGGAGTAAGAAGCATTGCCATTTCCAGAGCCTCCAGAGCTGACAACAACATACAGAGAGAGAGAGAGAGAGGGGGGAAGCAGGTTAAGAGCAAGCATTGTGGAAGTAGGTCTAAAAAGCGTGTTGCTTTCATCAAAACAAATAAAGCGCGGCGTCCCAAAACACAAAAAAAATAAAGACTTGGTTCTTATCCGTTTCAACATTTTTGTGTTTTATTATGATGAAGATTCTCTGTTTAAAGAAGAGATAGGGCAGGCAGATGCTATGTTCTGGTACAACTATCGAGGAAAATGATATTAAAATCCAACCAATAATGCAACGCTGTTACGCTGTCAACCGGCTCGGCTAGGCCCGCCCCGGCCTGATGGCGAAAGCCCACCCTCACGTTGTCAAGGCCAGGCTGTGCAGGACCAAATGAGGACACGTAAAATAATCAGAAGAAGGACTATTATGTTTTACTGCTCAATCCGAGTACTTGTGCTTCGTACCCTCGCTAGCCTCGGTTACTCTAGTCGGGTGTTCCGTCCGGGGATATTAAAAGTAAATTAAAATTTTAAAAAAATAAAAAAGAAAGTAATTTATTTGTGATTTTTTTTTCGATTTAAAGTTTAGGGTTTAGGTTTTTAATCTTACTTTAAACATAAATTTTTTTTATTTTTTGAATTTTTTTGTATAATTTATATTTGTTTTTTTGCTAACACATTAATCGGCCCTACTCGGGTCAAGTTGCTCATATTCGACCCGATTACTGAACTCGGGCTTGGATTGAGTATTCGGCCAGGGTCGACCTTTCTAACACTAATTGCAGGTCTCGTTCAGGCCCCGATTTTTTGCCATGGTAGCCTGGTCCTAGCCCAGTCCTCGAGAGATATTTTATAGCCCTACCCTGGCCTTTTAAAGCCATGTCGACCGGTCCATTGCCGGCCCAAAAGTAGACCACAGTTTTCAATACTTGGTTTTTGAAAACCATCCATCCATCCAGTTACTCAACTCGGGAATGGGGATTACATGCTCCTGCCCACAAGATGTGAAGTCCCACAATAAGGATATTTTACGAGCTATAAATTTCCTGTTTATTTCAAGCTTAAGTGTTACACAGTCGTGCAATTATATTTTACATCACCACTAAAAATGATGGTGACTTTGTTTCAATAAAAATAAAAAGAGATTCTATAGCATGAGACCATCTACTGTTGATTCAAGAAGGTTACAATTACTTGCAACTATCCGATGTGAAATTTGATAGTTTGAGTGGATAAAAAGGAACAAAAAGTACCTTGACAATTGCGGCAGTGTTGTTTACAAATTATGGATTTAGTTGTCCCGTTGCGAGTTTTATTCCATCATGTCTACAGAGAAGCAATGACTTGGCAGATGCGCTAGCTAAAATGGGTACATCTCTCTGATTTAGTGATTTATGATGATGTAAGTGTGTTGTTATGATTTAATTTCTGTAACTTCCTGTTTGATTAATAAATGTTTTGAATATTGTCAAAAAGCTGGATGGTCTATGTTCAATTTTTAAAAATTAATTTTTTAAGCACATATGGAATGGGTTAGTATTTTTTTTTTTTTTTTTTTTTCTTAAATATGTTACATCCCCAAATTTTGGGAGCCTGAGGTTACTATTAGATCGGATTTACTCAAGAGAGTGAATGCTAGCTCTGGAGGGTAAATCTATGCATTTTTATTTATACGAAATCGCCTTAAATTCAACAATTGAATGATCTAAAATGAGCTATTTGAGTTTATAAACAGATGAGTGTCCAAATAATGGATAGTACATTCTTGGAACCGGTTTTTCTAAGGTAGTTTAAAAAATAATTTCAACTGTTTTTATTAGATTGGAGGCTAGGATGACCAAATTGGATCCATAAAACACTCATATGTACGTTTAGCACAAGACAATCCCAACCATTAATTTTATTTCGGTCCATGTCCATCTTAGGCCTTATTTCATTCTTCCTGTATGCTAATTTTAATGTTAATTGCATATGATTTCTAGTTGTCTTTTTGTGTAGGTTCTTGGATTGGGTTCCACATAAATCCCATCTTTTGTGGAGTATTAAATATATGTATGATAAATTTGAGTTTACCTTTAAAGGAAAAATCAATGAGCCATTTCATTGACTGTCCCAGCTAAATCCTTTATTTAATTTTTTACCCAATTTATTTGTTTTACTTTCAATTATCTATACATATTAAGAAATTTGGGCTTTAGGGGTTTTTCTTATTTTTATTTTCTTCTTATTATTCTCTTTGTTTTACATTTTTTATGAAAAAGGCTTTTTTCTATCATGTAATTGTTTATATTCATAAAAAAGTTTTCTAAAACTCACATGATCTTTTCAATGTTGGAAAACCGTCTCATTGACCATCTCAAACTTGGGATTGAGATATGAGTGTGGGTATGTGTGGGTGTGTGTTAAGCAGTGTATCAAAAAGCGCTAGGTGGGCGCCCAGAACCTGGGCGGCTGCCCAATTGAAAAAAAAGTAAAAATCCCAATATACCATATTCCAAGTTGAAAAAAAATAAATAAATAAATAGAAGTCGAGAAAATTTTTTTGATAATCCATATTGTTAAAAAAGTAAACTGTAAGACCATACAAGTGTAGGATATAAAAGTCGACAGACTCAACACTCAACACAATAGAAATATACAGAAATTTAGAAAATATACAGTCTAACAAAAGTCAACACTCATGACTCAACACAACAGTCAACAGACTCAACACTCAGTACCAAGAGGCAAGAGTCTTTAATCAATCATCAAAAGGAATGTGAATAGGGCAAGCCTCGTCATATGCATCAGAGTTGAGGTCATCATCATCAAAGTCATAGCCTTCTTCAATATAACATTCGTCCTCTGTTACTTTTGAATCTGCCTCTTCCTCCTCTTTTTCTACCATCCTCTTACTAGTATGTGCAGTCTGTGCATATGAGGCCTTATGAGTCTTGGCTGCTCTCCCTTTTTATTTGCGCTTCTCTGAACTCAAATATTGTATAATTTCCTCCCGCCTTGGTAGCCTCAGGAACATTTTTACATAGGGCAACATCCACCGTCATACCGGCAATGTGTTTTTTAAACCGGTAAATGCCCCATTAGTATATTTTCCACAATAATTACATTTAATACGATTTTTATTACTTGGATTCGGGTTATCACCATACTTCCAACTCGGATCACCACTCCGACTAAAAACTGGAGAAGATACTTCCATAGAATAATGCTTATTTTCATCATTTTTTGGTTCTTCAAAATCCAGAAGATGTCTAATCTTATCTTGAACTGCTTCAAGAACCTTTGTACAAGAAGCAACATTACTTCGAACACCAGCAAGGTATTTTTTTAATCGGCTAATAATGCATAGGTATATTTTTCACAAAAATTACACTTTATACAATTTTTATCATTTGGTTTTAGATTGTACCCATATTTCCAACCCGGATCACTTTCTTAGGAGTAGCAGAAATAGATCTATAACAAGGATTTTGTTATTGTTTTTTTTTTTCATAACTTAAAAATTGCTTAAGCTCCTCCTTGATAGCTTCAGGAACATTTTTACAAGAGGCAACATCCCCCTTAATACCGACAAGCTGTTTCTTAAGCCAGTTTATGCCTCATTTTGTATTTCTTTCACAAAAATTGCATCTAAAGCAATTTTTGTCATTTGGATTCGAGTTGTATCCATATTTCCAACTAAGATCTCCATTCCAACTAACTCTTGACGAAGACATCTCAAAATAAAACAAGCAATCTAAAAAATACACTTACTTTGGTTGCTTGAACTCCAACTTTGAAAAACACTTCGATGATTTGATCTAATGAAATGTAGTTTTTTGGAGGTTTCTGTTACTCTAAAGGGGTTCTGGTGGGTTTAGGGTTCAAATGAACCTAAAAGCCATCATTCTTAACTTTTATATCTTTGAAAAAAATGGAAAAATAAAAAAATAAAAAAATTCCGCCTCTGGGTGGGGTGCATGCCCTGGGCGGCTGCCCAGAGACCACCGCCTAGGCCTGGGCGATGCGCCCAGGCCTTTTGAACTGCCTGGGCATTGGGCGGTCCGCTTTTTTGAACAATGGTGTTAAGGCTTAAAAATATTGCATCGACCATTCATTTTCAAGATTTTTAAGTGCGTATAGATCGGCTTTATTTATAAAGTTTTAAATTTTATAATTGAAGGTTAAAATAGATTTTCAAGAGCTACTGTAGAAGTTTCAACGCCGAAACTATATCTTTCAGTATAACTTGGAGTGGACCTTATTTTTACATTTGAACAATTGCTTCATGCAAGCTGGATCGCATTTCTACAATATGCGGGTTGCCCGCATGCCAACCGTGTCCTTTATGTTTAACCTTGTCAAAAACAAGAATTTTCACGCCTTATATTTGATTGCATGCTTTGTTTTATTTGTGTATTTTTATTTTCTTTGCATATTTGTGCAATGCATGGGCTTCAAACCACCATAAATTTCCGGAAAGTACACCATATGTCTTTGAGATGATGCTGCAAGCATGATATTCCAAGTAATATGAACTCTCAGTCCTCTTATGGTAGTTGATATGGATTGACCATCGATCTTACATGTTACATGGACACAAGTCGGTAACATTCTTCTCAAGCACATTTAGTAACTAGAAGTTGGAGATCCCCTAAAACTTGGTTCTAAGTCGTTAGAAGCTAGAACTATTGGCAACTAGAATTCTGGATTACTTATTTGATAAATAGAAAAAGCTTGGGTGAGCTCACTAGCTCATGGAATAGTATAAACTCAATGATCCAGATTGAATTTAGACCAAATAGTATAAATCCAATGATCCAGATTGAATCTGGACCGATCTGATGAACACAAATGTCTAATAGTGTTTGAATTTTTATTTTTTTTCTACAAATCCAAATCATTTGAAATTTTAGACAAGTGTTATTTTCATCAAGACACACATAATAAAAATATAAAATAAATAATCCGCCAAAAATTAACCAAAATACCCTCAAAACTTTTTGAGAGTATTTTGATTAATTTATTTCATGTAAAATATTTTTTTGATATTTTTCGAATATTCAACTATTTTTTATGTACACGTTCCAAATTTCAAGTGATTTGGATTTGTAGAAAAAAAATTAAAATTAAAACACTATCGGACATATGTGATCGTCAGATCGACTCATATTCAATCTGGACCGTTGGACTCATTTTTTCCTGTGAACAAATAGACTCACCCTAACATCTTCCTTGATAAATTTATGAAAGTTTTCGTATAACCATGAAGACTTAAAGCCTCACTGAGAGTATGATTTTTAATAGAGCAAAATAACGTACCAAAAGTCATGAAGTCAACTTTAATTAATTAGAAAAAAGCTTTTATGGTAATGATGATGATGTAGAAAGTTCTCATGTATAGGATCAGATTTAGTGTTCTAATAAAGCACCACAGACTTCACAGCTGAGAGACAGTATGATGAGAGAGGACTAAAAGCGGAAAGACACCAAGAGAGGAAGAAACCAGAGATAGAAATGACAATTTTTCAAAGAGAAAATGAATCATATACACTGCATATGGTTAGAGCGAGCGTTAGAGAGAGAAACATAGAGGAGATGGCAGCACTAAACATTTAAAGAAAGAGGAATAGAGAGGGCACAATGAGGGAGTGATGGGAAGGTTAAAAGAAAGAGAAATAGAGAGGGCACAATGAGGGAGTGATGAGAAGGTTAAAAAAATGGAGTTAGAGGGAGAAAGGAGAGAGAAAGAAGAAAGATGATAGGAGTGAGTTAAAAAGAGAGAGAAGCAGCAGGGTTAGAGAGGATTGTTTTTTGAGTGAGTTGGAAAGAGAGAGAGAGAAGAGGCAGGGTTAGAGAGGAATTTTTTTGTTTTTTGGTAGTTCATTGGGAAAGATGGGCCCTTACCAGAGTTAGTTTTTTGAAATATTAGTGGTGGAAATGGAAACCATGTGGTGATTAGGATGTGGGTGCTACCACCACGACCCCAGCCCAGGATTGACTTGGGAAGAGAAAGGGCACGACTAGTGAGAGAGAATTAAGGCTGGGGCTTCACTGACATGCATTAGCTCAAAAAGTTTGCAAACAATTGGTAGTATCATTCCCAACAAGATTACACCGGTTGCTGGAGATGATGATTTTTATGAAATTTTCACCCAAAACAATTGCTAAATGAAAAATAATCACAACACGAAAAAGGAGAAACCCTTGAGAAACCTGCCCGATCGCTCTCAGGAAAAGAGAAAAGGAGGGGAAATTTATAAATAAATCCTATTTTATTTTTGATATTTGAAAATAAACCTATGCATGTCATTTTGACAATCAAGTCCCATTTTTTAGAACATAAAGTGTATTTTAATCTTTTTTCTTTTTTATACATCAAATTCCACTCAAATTTAGTGCGTACATACTTCTCGCCATGATATGCCTATAAAAAATAAAAAAATTAATTTACAATAAATAAAATTAATAACCTACCCCTATATCATGGCGAGAAGTATGTATGTACCAAATTTGAGTACAATTCAATATATAAAAAAGGGATAAAACTAAAATCCACTTTATATTAAAAAAAGAAGAAGACGTTTTATTGTAAAATAGCAAATACATACGACTATTTTTAAGTATCAAAAATTAAATAAGATGTATTTGTAAATTTCCCAAAATGGAAACTAATGGCTTAAGGGAAAATTCTCCCCAATTGTATGCATTTGCTGTACCACCTATAAATTTCTTTTTATTAACAACATAACCACCCATACCTACATACAATTCGCAGAGGGCTTTCTTAAACTGATACGAATTATCAGTAACAAATTAGCACAATTATTCTTCCCATTTATTTTCAAAATATTCATACTGCCTTACTAATAGATTGAAAGTTCATAAAGTACTCAACTCACAAGCTACATAAAGACAAGAATAAATTTTGACCCAAACACAAAAGGTCCAAATTATATCATGTTGAGATAACATTTTCCTAATATATTTGGAGAAATAAGCATGTTTTCAACAATTTTGGGACCATGTTTTCCACAGCTATTAGCAATTACTATTATAATAATCCCTGGGGTACATTATCATGACCTGTTTTATTATGATTTACAGAGTTAGGAGAAGATGGATAAGCTGAAATCGCTCTCAAATGTGCCTGAAACACTGTAATGGATACAACTTGGAGGTAGTAATACTTACAATAATAGTTAAAGCTACGCTTGCTGTCGAAGTTGCTCCTGATCAGAAACCAGTAAAACTTTGTCAAAACAGTTCATACAAAAAGTCGAGACAAATAGAGAAAGCAATGGAAGAGAGGAACGGATAGCTTATGCTTAAAACTGAAGAGTGCAAGTTCAAATCCCAGGCTCAAAGGAGGAAGGGGGGAGAGAGAGAGAGAGAGGTTACAAACCTCAGAGACAAAGAAGGCATGGAATCCATATGGAACTCTCTTGGGGAGTTCGACAACAGCCACAGGCTCCTGTGACATCGTTTTTGCATCAATGACATTGATTTCTGATTTTCTGCAGCATCAAGGTACTCCAAAATTTATACCAATCCAACACAGAAGAAAAGGGAACGGCCATATTTACCAAAACATCAAAGGAGAAGACCATGAGATCACTACAAATTCCACAACCAACATAGAGCTATTAGCCACTATGGAGAGAGAGAGAGAGAGAGAGAGTAGTGTCAGCATCAAAAGATAAGAGCATGTACCCTGTGTTCTCATCATGCACGAAGAAGATCAAATAGCCATCATCCTCTTCAGAGGTGGTTCCAGGTTCCCTTGGCACGAATATTGCCTCTGAACCATATCGTCTTGGGCCCAATTCAAAGATGCCCTGCACATTTCCTCCTACTTCAAGCCTTGTTTTACCGGTCTCAGGTTCAGCATGCAAATCAAACTTGACAATTGCTTTCACTTTTGTGATCCCCTCAAAAGTAGTCCCATAAACAAACCTCTGCTTCCTGTAGTTAGTAACATTCATTAGAATTCAATATATCGAAGCACTAACAAATCAAGAGTATTACAACATCAAATTCAGTTATTATTACCTTTAATATATAAAAGCTTTTGCATGTTTTTCTTATCCACGTTATTTTTATTTTTATTTTATTTTTTATTTTTTAGAATATTGAGACTGCTTAAAAGAAGACGTATCAATATTTTACCAGTAGCAGCAACATGGTAGAGAAGTCACCTGCCAGTGTAATTTTCGTTAATCCGAGGAAAATCCACAGCAGACTCTGATAGTTTTCTCTGAGAAGCTTCACCAGTTTTCATATGGAATCGCATCTCATAGCTGAGCAAAAGGAACGATAGAAACACTTTTAGCAACACTCCTTCGGATGAATACGAGAAAAATGAAAATGAAAAGTGAAAAAGAAGAATGAGAGGTGAGTTCAGATTTTGCATACAGTTCATTTTTGAAGTTTGCCACTTTATCTTTTGAAGAGTTGGTCTCAAGTTCCATATCGAAATCCTCTAGACGACAAGTAATCAGAACAACTTCATTGCCATCCTCCCAGGCATTGGCTGTTTAAGCAAACCAGGGTTGTAAGTTGAAGAGTGGATAGCCAAGAGAGATGCAATTACGTATAAGTTTCTAAAACATCAAGCACGATCATGAAGTTCCCAGTTTGTAGCTATTTATGACTGAAAAATCCGCAAAATAACCATTAAATTGGTTTAAAACCATGGATTAATAAAAAACCACGGAATTTGACTCAAAATTGGCCAACACAGTACAGTTAGTGATAATAGAAACTATCACCAACACGACCTAGCAAGTGATGAGAGTCAACCAAGTCAAAAGAGTACAACAAGTTTGTTCATACAGGTTCACAAGCATTCAAGACAAGATATTTACTTTATTCAACTTAACGCACCATCAATTTTATATTTTATTATCAATGCATATGGCATATGAAGATATGGTGTTAACTTTTGTGTTGAAAGATTTTAGTCAGCGTCTCATAAATTTGGATTCTTGGATAAAAGATATAACGGTTATCTGTTTTGAGGATTTTGGGGGTAAGTTTGGGTCAAAATTCTTTACATACTATTTTGAAGTATTCATTCTTTGCACCCTTCTGTCCAAGTATTCTTCTCTAACTCTCATCCTCCTGCATCTAAGATCAAATTTTCATGTGCTTAATTGCACAAATGGAACTTTGCCTTCTAAACTTCTGGTTAACAATTTTAATTTTCGTAGTTACTTTCTATGTAATTTGTCAAGTTTTGTTAAGTTAAAAACTTATTGTCTGCTTGCTTTTGATGATTCCCCCATATACTTTTGGATTTTCTTATTCTTTTCCTTGGTTTAAATGCATCAATGTTGCTTAATGTTAGCATATAGTACCGGTCAAATTGCAGCCTCCTCATTAGATTATCTAATGTGACCGGGAATTGAGTAATGTTTCAAATGACTAATAATATTGCAATAAGGGGCATTTTGGTCTCTTTTGTTATGATTATGATAGCTTTACACACCTATGATTGTTTTTTCATATTGCTTATACTCATGAATCTTAATAGAAGGGACAACAATCCAGTCACTTAATAATTAAATCTGTAACCACATTTATATATTCATGAAAAGAATCATCATCATCATTCGAGCCTTATCCCAATTATTTGGTTCCCCTTGCCCTTTAAGAGCCTTCCACTCGAACCAAATCGCCTGTCTTCACCGATGTTCTAGGTCAACGCTGCACATGGTTAGCTCACCTAAGTCTACTTTCCCTCATCTTATTGCCTATTGGAGCCACCCCTAATTTCCCTCTGATGTACTCATTCCGGATTCTATCTTTTCTTGCCTTGTCACTCATCCATCTCAACATTCTTATCTCAGCTACACTCATCCTATGGATATGTTATTTCTTGACTGCCCAAAATTCAGTCACATAAACCATGGTTGGTCTTACAGGTGGCCAATAAAACTTCCCCCTCAGTTTCGTTTGTATGCCACGATCACATATAACTCTGGAAGAGCATGTCCACTTCGCCCACCCAGCTATAATTTTTTGTGCTACATTTTCCTCAATCTCTCCATTCTCATGCATTATCGACTCGAGAAGCACATCTTCCTCAATCTTCATGACAAGAGTATAGTGGGAAATTGGGATGATAAGCTGTTAAGCATCATGACAAACTCTAGGGTATACAGTATGATCTAATTCTACCTTCACATTAGCATAACTTAGAAGGATGAAATTGGATCTAGACACTTCCACCCACCTACAGTGATTTAGAATACAAAAAAGAGAAAAAATAATAAAACACACACACATGCACACACACACACGCACACACACATATGTATGTATGTATGTATGTATGTATGTATGTATGTATATGTGTATGTATCTCTAATGCATATATATGTATATAATGCTTTTCCCATGATGTCAGGTATTGTTATTTAAGAAAACCTTCACGCAAATTCGGACAAGACTGATTTAAGACCAAGAACCAAGCCTATGCTCAAGATGTGTCAAAGCCAGGGTTCCAAGAATCCAGATAGAAGAAATACACTCTCACCATTATGGAATATGAAGCAGTTTGGAAGCTCGAACCATCTAATCTGAAGTTCGTCCTTTGCATATCGTGGAAGTACACCGAAACGAGCCTTCTTTGTATTATCAAACGTGAAAACAAGCTTCCCCTTTACCATGTCCTGAAAACGAAGAATGGTATCGATTTTATTAATTGGAGAGCCTTAACATTACTACATGCCTAATTCTAGTCCAATGCAGCTCCTGATGAATCTGAAATAGGTGTTTCAAACCACCAATATGTTTGCAATAAAAAAGTAATCAATCCACAGTAAACATAAGTACAATAGATGTAAATGACAGGGAATAACCGGACAGATAAAACAATGGCACACATATGAGCAAGAGATAGAATAGAATAATCCAAACACTCTATAGAACAAAATGGAGAAAGCTCCAATATATTGCCTACCCTTTCCAGTTTAGACAGGAAAAGAAAGAAGATACGCAATTCCATGCTCATTTAAATATAATAAGCATCAGGTGATACAATATGCAATGGCCAATGTTGAATTACTAAAAAACCACAACATAACATGGGAAAGAATATTAACATCCGATAGACTAAAACATAGCCAGCCCTTTGTCAAACAAAACGAAGGATGGGGATGGAGAGGAAGTGGGACCCAACATGGGTCATGTCTTTCTCTAATAGGTCCCATTCTCTCCATCAATTTCCATATGTTTAACATCAATAAAAAGTGATTTTCCGGAGCCCCTCAAACTACAATAGTGTTTCCCTAACATGTAAGAACAAAACCAGCAGTTGATTAGAGTCGCTTATAGCCCAGATGCTACAAAGGGCACAAAACAACTCAAATAAACACACATATTTTGGATAAATTTCATGGTGCAACAGGGAAATTACTAAAGAAAATATGATGGTTAAAAATGCTGCTAAGACCCCTAGAGTAAAAACACATAACTGAGAAAATACTTTCCACCATCGAAAGAAATCCAAAATTTCCTGGAAAATGACAACTAGTGAACATGATTTATTGTTCAAGCATGTCAAATGTGTTAGAGGACATGGTATAAGTACTGTTAACCTCCTGTTTTTGAGAGAAACTGTCAACCCCCTGTTAATTGTGTTTTTCACTCCAGATGCTTCTAACTCTCAACTCAGAGCTTTCTCTTCGCATGAAAGATGCAAGATAAAACTACTTGACAGTAATTTTGTTTCCCACATTTTTTTGCAAACAAATATAAAAGAAAAACAAATTTGGTTTGGAGCCCATGGTTCAATTAAAAGGGTCTGTTGTTGCAAAATTGGCTATGGGTTCGAAGCCGTCTTTACCTATCAAAATGTCGGAAAAAAAGGAAATACTCAAAGTTTGATCTGATTCATATCTAGAAGGTGGTACCAACATAGAGGCTGTGGGTTTGAACTCAGACATTACTATTTAGGAATTGGCTGTAGGAAAATTATGATGATGTTATGCCATAAAAAAACAAAGATAGTTGTAACTGATATCCTATTAATTTCAGAAAATTAAGCAGAAAGCATCTTTCCATAAAAAATGACACACCTTTGGTCGAAAGTACAGAGGCAGATCCATGAAGATCGCATAGTTTTCAGTGATGGCAAAATCATGCATCATGACAGGGTCTGATATCGTTATGGGAACCGGATCAAGCATCACACCTTTTTTAGTGATCACACGATATGTAACATACGGTGGCGTATGTGAATACCCAAATGTAAACATTTCTCCTGCATCCAAGATTGCTAAAAGTCAGCACCCATATCCTTTTTCGTTAGCTTGTATGTGCACTTTCTAAAATTAAATGTAGCAAATTTTTCCTTTTCTAAATACTGATGTCACCAAGGATGCGTTGCAGTACTTTTTTTAAAAAAAAAACTTTCATTTTGTATGCCCTGCCCCACCCCCTGGAAAAAAAACAAAAAAAAGAGGATTTGTTTAGTTAACAGCAACCAACATTTTCTTTCATGTGCATTCTCCTATCAGTATTCCATTTGTAACAATCTTGCATCTCGTTTAACAAATCAAATATATATAACTGTTGCATTGGGTTCTCCAAGATGGGAATTTACCAGTGAAAGGATCAACCTTCGGGTGAGCTGTGAAGGAATGTTGCAATCTCTTGTCATAGTCCAATAACCCAATTGTTTGCAGATCACCATCCTCAAGAACCTTAATTACATCTGTACACAGTGGAAAATATTTGGAACCAGCTCCATAAAAATGACAGGGACGTTCAAAAGTGACCATAGTGACCTTGATCCGCATCATCAACAAATAGTTAAAAGAAACTATACTATAATCCATTGTTCTGTAGAAAACCATAGTCCACTGGGGTTATCACTATCTGGTGAAATGATGGGCAACCTTTTAGAGAGAGACCCACCATTGGGATCATGTGGTCCCACCGTCTCTTTATCACCTTCTATCATATCATTGGATTTTAATGAACCAGTAAACAATAGTCTCGCACAGCCCCTTGGAGTAATAGACATTCCCATAGTTCAATTGCATCATGGACTCTCAAGGGTATCAGGATTCTACAGCTACTTGCTTCCTAATTACACAACTGAGAGAGTCGCAGAAAGCTAAGCACACATATGACTAGATTTGGTTAGCTGGTTAATTTGGGTTTACTTTTCGCAGTGTAAAAAAGCATTCACCTTTTTGTACATTAAAAGGATGCAAATCCAGTTTAGTTGCCCACCAATCCAATTTATATGTTTAGCTTTTCTGTATATTATATATATTTTAATGACCAAAATGCCAATGGAGGCCATTAAACATATTCCGAACAACAAGCAAAAGTGTACCCAATCAGATGACAATGACTGGCATCTAAACACAAGTCATACACAACACCATCGCTAGCATTTTGTTTAATAGCAGCAACTGGGAACTATATATTGATGACTTAATATCTTGAGACAAAATGATTCTAATTGCCAATTAAGATACCATTTGCATAGTTCATTCTTCTGGAAAAAGACCGTCCCGTCATTGCTAGTTATATTTTCAAAAAATGTCATGTCTACTAACTCTTTCAAAAATTGGGCTTCAATTTCACATGAAAAGGAAGCCAAAAGTCAAGCAGTAACTTACATGGTTTATCTGCTTCTGAGAGAGCCAAAAGTCTCCCCTGATGAAAAATGAGAGCTGTATTCCCTGGCATTGGATCACAAAAGATAATTTAACAACTGAAGAGCCAATCCTAAGAGGCAAAAATAAGGAATGCTACGAGACAATAAAGGATGCACCAAATTATTGGCACACGAAGGATTAAAGACCTCCTAGAGAGTCCTAAGCTAGACTTAAATTTAAAAAAAAAAAAGAGAGGAAGAAGAAGAAGAAGAAGAAAAAAAGTAAAAGTAAAGGGGATACTACGTATACCCTCTACCTAAAAGATCCTATAGATGGGGACCCCTTGACATTTTTTCTTTTGCATCAAATCCCTCGACACTGTTTTTCTTTGCATCTAGCACACTAAGTGAAATGTTCAGGCAATCTAGGACAAAATGTCCTTAAATAAATAAATAAATAAATATTAACCCAAGAGTTTGGCACTCCCAGTTCCGAACTGACTTGAGGGAATTTTTGAGTCTCACTCAGGGTGGGGGGAAGCAAGAGATTGGGGTGGGGGTGGGGAAAGGCAGCTTTTGCTTTTTTGAGCAGGGAATGTGTGGGGAAGGGGCTGGGGGGAGGAGTTGGTGGTTGGATTAGATGCAAAGGGTAAGTCAAGGGATATCTTCGTGTGAAATAAAGTATATCTTCGTGTGAAATAAAGTTTGTTCCGGGTCCTATTGTAGGATCTTTTAGGTAAGGGGGTATATGTAATTGAAGAGATTTATGGAACTCAAATAATGTATAATGTTGACTTACCTGTTCCAGTTCCATATGAAATATCTAGGACTTTCAATTTTGAACAAAGCACCTGCATGTATACAGAGAAAAGTCCAAAGACACCTTTGATGTCTCCAATCTGCATAAATCACAACTTTATTGTATTACTTTTAAATGGATTTAGATGGTGGCAGATTAAGAGAATGTTTGATCCATATCAAAGCAAGTTCCCTCATTATTTCTTGACAAGTGAATTATCTATGACACCCAAAATTAGATTATGCTTTTAAATCAAGATGACAGTGCAAACTCGATGTATATGAACTAGTGAAGGAAATATGCATAGAAAAATAAGGAAAGATTTAAATCAGAAGAATTTAATAGGAGGACATAAACAGATTTGGCAGAGATGCAAATTTTAAAGTTGAAAGCCTATTTTGATTGAACCAACGAAACTGATCCAAGCCAAAGTTGGACTATTTGATAACTTGCAGCTCAATTTGAAAGTGTTAACTGATATCAGTTTTACAAGAAAAAATCAATGTAACCTGCTCTCACTAAGCCAAGGATATCATATTATCTTTAAATAATAGCATGGAGATCCCAAGAGCAACTAAGAAAGATGAATGATCCTGTTTAATGAGTGATAGTTTGCAATCTAGCAGAGCGGAATGATATTGTATGTGAGAAAACTAATCAAATCTGATCATGGTTTCCAATACTACGCCTAATTATTACCCCAAATAATCCCAAATGGTGTCGAAGGAATACTGTAATGTTGAGGCATAAATAGCGTTGCCTTAAATTATTGCCTGTCTTCAAAAGTTAATGAAATACATGGTTACCTTCAGAAATTTAGCTCGTCCAAAGAACTCCTCTTGCTTAAGGCGTGATGTCTTAACAAAGCGTGAAACATAGGCTGCTTTGCCATCTTTGATTCTCATGCCATGCACCATTCTGCAGCTCTTTTGAGTAATCCATTTAGTACAAGGAAGTCTATATATACATGAAATCACAATCTCCATATGTTGCATTTCGAAACATTATACTTTTTAAAGTAACAGTTGTTGTCAACAGTAAGAAGTCTAAAGAGAACTCATCACCGCAGCTAATCAGTTATGTAGCACAAAAGCAACCTTAACCAAAATGCAGTTGAGGATGAGGGGTATAAGAAGAAGATACGCACCCATCTCCATCAAACCTGCACATAGGAAGACAAAAGAACATGTCTATTGTAAGCTTGAACAGATTTATTTTTCTTTTATCAGTTTTACAAGAAAAAATCATTGTAATCGACTCTCAGTAAGACAATTGGTGTCAAGCAATAAACGCCAGGCTCTTTTGACATACATAAGGTCCAATGTGAACAGCATTTATTTAAAGAGAGGGAACAGTATTGAAAGAGAGGGAACAGCCTGGCCATTTTTAAAATCATGCAAAACCATGAAGTGTATTATCATCTAAAATTTAAAATGGACTTGATTGGACTATAAACAAAAATAATGTACTACTAAGAAATGAAATAGAATGAATATCATGTTAGTATAAAAAATAGTTTCACTAATCAAACAGAAAAGCTTGCACAGATACCAATAAGGTAAAAAAGGAGGGAAAAGCCAAGGAGATAGTAAATTTTTTCAGTTTATTTGCAAGAAAATGTCATTACGTATGCTTCACTGCTTCAAAGTTCAGAGGTCCTTTTATTACTGGCCAAGCACATTGAAGCACGCAGACATGATATACACACCCATACATGCACATATTTGCACGTTACATGCATGCATACATGTAAATACACATGCATGTGCGTGCGTGTAAAATTCTTAAAGCTAAGAAAAGGTGAGTACCAGTGATAGCCCGCCACAGGAGCAAATTTCGGATTGGGACCAACTCTAACAAACTCCCCATTCAAGCAATCCTGTTCAAGTGAAATCACCCAGAAAATTACATATTTTCAACTTAATCATCTCAAGGTAAGAGGTCTTCAGAGATAAACTTAGACTTTAATTTATTTGAGTTCATTTGAAGAAGTTCCAAGGGCTTGCACAAAATTTTGAGATCTCTTCCCCTCTTCCCACAAGGTCCCCCACACCCCCCTTCCCCCCCCCCCACCCACCACACACACACAACAAAAACAAAAAGAAAATAACAACACACACAC